TGGTCGTTTTCTTTACTTCCTTCGGCGGCCATCTTGAAGTCCATGCACTCCAAACTTGAGGTAAGTAAATTTGAAGCACTGCAATGTACCAAGCATCTGAGAAAACCCCTGAGCAAATGTTTGAATCATTATTACAAGCCAACGGACCTGGGAGATATAGGGCAACAGAGTTTTGACCATCATCTCGGCCGCCATCTCGGATACCGGTCCAAATTTCGCTTCGGCAACAGGCAGATTCGTATTCAGCGGGGTCGAAATACTCTAAATACGTTGTTTCCCCAATTTTTACATGAAATGCTTCTTGCATTGTTAATTTTTGAAAACGTGCCTAGTCTATATATGTTCAGATCTGCCTGTTCCTTTGAAACCTTTTATAGAAATTATATGAAAATATTCACATGAAGGTTTGAAACCATTTTCATTTCAATAAAAATACACGGCACTGTCCAAAATGATGATTGTCTTAGAAAAATTGATCATATTTTTGGTTATTCAGTATAGTTATTCATACCGGTCCAAATTTGGTAAAAATCGTAAGACTAATAGCTGATATATAAAGGAGAAACCGTTTGAAGTGGGACAGGCTGTATAGAATCATCTTGTTACACCTCGTTGGCTGAGTAATGTAATCAGGAATTCAGCTATATACCTATGTAATTTTCAGGGCTGATTTATGACTTTTCGCGAAAGTAAGTCGAATATCATGAAGTGAATGACTCATCTTCTGAAGCCTCATTATAATTATTTTTATGCCCGTTACCACCGAACATAAACATACATAGTATGGTAAAAGGATAGGATTTTGATTCAAAGACATATGAGTTCTTAGAAAATTACTTATGTGTGCTTCTTTACATTTCTCGGGATGGAGTTGTATGGAATTGGCATACCTAAGTATTCCTTTCATGTCTATAAACTATCGACTAGCGCTACTGCGTAATGATTCAAGTAAAACTGTTTCAATTTCGACATCATATTTTGTACAAAAAACCTTCAGATACAAATTTTGAATATATCATAATTACAAAATTCATCTGCCATATTGAATCCGCCATCTTGAATTTCTTTATTTTGACTAAGGAATCATAATTTCCGATGCCGAAAATCCCCTGATATAACGTTTGAATAGAATCGGATCATAATTACAAAACTCGTGTGTCACATTGGATCCGCCATCATAAATTTCCGAATTTTGATGGTAAAATCATGATTTCTGATCCAGAAAACCTCAGATATACAATATTTTTGAATTGGATCTTAATTACAAAACTCGTCAGCCATATTGGTTCCACCATCTTGAATTTCCAAATTTTGATGACACAATCATAATCTCCGACCTCGAAAACCCCCAGATACCAATTATGAATACAGTCGGACCATAATTACAAAACTCGTCTGCCATATTGGCTCCGCCATCTTGTATTCTCAAATTCTGACAGAAAAATCATAATCTCCGTCGATCCCCGAAAACCCCTAGATACCTATACCAGTTTTGAATAGAATCTGATCATAATTATTACAAAATACACTAGTGTATAATCAAGGATGTAATAAGATACTCTTCGGATTTTTTGATGTTCATTCGCGTTCAGTCGTGACTTCGGCGACAGGTCGGAACGGGTTCGGACGGACGGATCGGGACGGAAATTCAATGTTTTTTGGTTTTTCCTCACCCAACAAAGTGCTGAACGCGACTAAAGTTTTCACTTGAAAAATTACAATAATGTCATCAAGAATGTATTCCCCCAGAAATACATCGGAAGGCAATTTTGGACCACCGTGTATATTATAAATATCATAATCATTCCATACCAATTCCATATATTCCATTCATATACAAACAAATAAGTATATGAGCCACACTAGTGTTTCTCCATTCACCCCTGTAGCGAACATTATCACTGAAATATGAACGATTCATAATAATAATTAACCCTCGTAAAATCTCCTAAATACCCGATACCCGAAACAGAAGAGGCGGCCGACGACGACGCTCATTAGCGCATCGCTTCGAACCTCAAAGTCAAATCTTCCGCCTAGCCGCCTTGCGCCCGAGAAAATGACCTTGAAGGCGATTGCCGATCTTTTCATCTATGCGTTCGCGCTCCGACAACACATCGTCTCACTATGTATAGAAATTGTTATTATATTTATTGTGTGTTTATGTGTCGTCTTTTTTATTTGCATCGAATCCTCACGAAATATACATGTATATTCTCATAGATGCTAATATAAAATTCAATTCTACTCCTTCACCCACCGGAGACAATAAAGATCAGATAATTATAATGTCGCGCAATATCAGTATATACCATGCAATTTGCGAAAAAATATCGCAAGTCTAAGACCTATTACCAGCTATGGCAACAATGGTATGTATTTTATAGAGACAACGAAGGAATCTGCATATTTCGGAAGGGTTCTGCAAAATTTTTACCCTATGAAACACAAAAGTAGGGCAATTATGGTTGCATACATCAAGTAACACCTGGAGCACTAGCGACATCTGACAGATCAGAAACGCGAAATTTGTCGCTTTACATGTACCTTAATAATTCCATATATCTTGTACATACAATAATGATGAATTTAAACTCAATGGGACCTCGGTCGGTGGCCTTTTGGGTATCCAATAAAGCTCCTTAAATTATTAATCAATCAGTCATCACTGTTCGAGTTATGTCGTCAGTATTATTTCTTTCAAATAACCATCTTGATAATACATTAAAAAATAATGCATGTTTCTGTGTATGGACTTATATTTTTTCTTTATTTTTCATGTTACATAACCGTACCCAGTTAACACAAATTGATCTCAGAGATGTCAGTACACTTCACATTCATGATTGAGATCACACCCGCGATTCGATTTGTGAATCACGTCGACATCTCCAGATCCTCTATTCCGGACCCTTTTGGTCATTTTTCGCTTCACATTTAGATGCCGAATGGGACTCAAAAGTTAGCTGAATGTGACTCCAGATATCACGTTGAAATAAGACTCACATTGAGGTCACATTATAATCAGAATGTGAGGTTTAAAAGACCATCGACCATTTCTGAATGTGAGGTTCTTTTCGATTATTATACTGGTATCGTAGCGTCCCTGGAAGAATCATATTGTGCGTCTCAGAAATGCTACATACACATTGATTTTTGATGTCTCAAGTGAAATCACATCTAGATTGATGAAGGTATTCAATGAGAGAACTAATCGGTCTCGAATCTCTGTCAAATAGATCAATCAAGGGTTTCACAAGGCAACTCGATTTTATTGAAAATTAGTCTCATTACACATCAGAATAGGTGAGTACATACATGTTATGTTGAGCAAAACTACCTAGATATAACAATGATTGAAATTAGAAAAACAGCGCAGGCCTAGACTTTTTCGAATAATTATACAGGGTATATATCTCCATGAGTTAACGCGATGAATATGGAGAACTGAAAGTAACACAAGAGAATCCAATATTTGCTCCTCATCTCTCCTTCCGTTGTAGCATGGTAACCAATCCCTGCTCAGAATTTCAAATTGTTCCAAGGTTGTCCAGATGACTTTTGTGATTTGACATCTGAAAATGAATATAGAAACAATCAATTGATTTCATTTTGCCCATTTCCTGTTCAGAATATCTTATAGAGAGTGAGTAGAGAACCATAATGAGAGTATTGAAAAATGTTCAAGTCACTTTCATATCTACGTGGAGTCGTGTAAGATTGAAATTATTTATGAGAAGATGAAATCACACTGCATACCTACTGTTCTATACCGGGTGACAAAGAAGATAGAGAATAGCTGCGGCGCATTTTTTCCTCCCATTCATAATATTTTGCAATAATTTTAATTTTAATCAGACTTTCCCAATATACAATCAGAATATGCATGTTCACTTATACCCTGATCCCAAAATGATATATTCCAAGGTATCATTGTAAGTATCATCATATAGTCTTGAAATGGCGACGTGGTGTCGTCTACCCTGTCTTCATTGTCAACCAGTATATAGGTATATTATTGTATCAAGTTATGAACGTTGTAGTTACTTACCCTGTAACTTAGATGAGAAACACACAGTATCTTTAATCACAATCATGATTTTCGATTAGAAAGAGATGCTTATTCAGTCTAAGCAATAACGCCAAACAGGAACTGCATACCAACACCGAATAAACTAATGCACTGAAACAACGAAATGGACGAGACAAAAGCATGCCGTCGCTAAAGAATTCACAGACACGTGTACATCAGTCAGACCGACACTGACCGAGTGTGTACGAAACTTTACATAAGTCACATTGTGCGCTACATTCATGAGTATGCGAGTACACTGATATTTCCAAGTATTGTTCGATATTACTTTCATAAATGAATTTCCTTGAGATGTGAGAGAGATTCACATATTGAAGCATATTTTCGTTTCTTCATTCTGCACAATGTGAATCAGTTTGTCAATTCAGATACATCAAATTATGACTCTCAACGACTGAAATTTCAGATTCTGAAATTATAGTCGTTGTGAAGTTAAGGGGCCTCATAAATATTATATCCATATTGGTCTCAGATCCAACAGAATGTGATGAAATTTGCGAACTATTTGTCACACTAGGAATTCCTTGTAGATATCAGCGATGCAATATTGTGATTCGCTTTTGTGACATCAACTGCCATGAATGCGACATCTCATAGATGTTTGTGTTAACTGGGTATTGTCGAGAAATGAAAGAGATTTCATCTATATAATAGTGTAATGATGTCATCAAAAATGAGTAGACCAACAAATGCGCATCTGAAATAGACAATCAATGTGTCTCAGCTTTTTTCCCCCAAGGCCAATATATTTTAATGAATTCCAACCTTCACATGCTCAAGCTAAAATTCACGGAACAGAAGACTAATTTCTCGCCTAGCTTATTTTCGTCGAAAAATGACGAAATAGTAACATAATCAATCATTTATTCATCCATTTTTTATTTAAATTTTTTATGGACTTACATACCCTATTAGTCTCCGGAAGCAGCCCTTGAAGAAACTGATCGAGAGCGTGATTCGTGTAACATATTACCAATATCGGCGTTTTTGTGTACCAAACTGACATGTTCCTTAACAAAGTACGAGCAATCCAGAGTCCGAGAAACGTTTTTCCGGTCCCAGGAGGACCCTGTATGATGGCGAACTCCTTTGTCAGGGCTGCTCGGAAAGCCTCATTTTGAGTGTCATTCAACCAGTAGAATCTCCTTTTGCCCCAGTCGAGCGGAGAGAAAGTTTCGGACCCTATGGTGTACATTTGAATGTCGCCTTTGAGGAGATAGTCGGGCGGAGCAGTTTGTGTTTCTACTCGAATAATGTAGCGCTCCATTGGGAAAGCCTCAGGGCACATCTTTTTTAAAACGTTCAGTACCTGTTGGAAGTGGGAATATTCAATAGACAATAATCATCATTTCTGAAGGGAAATGGGAGATGGGAGACGTTTTCAGAGGAATATTGCTTATTACTCAAGACTGACCTGGTAATAAGGCTCGAAAAACACTGTACTTTCCAACATCAAAAACTTTTGTTGAAGCAAATTCGGTGGTAAAGCGACATCAGCATTGAAGCCTACAATGAGCTGCCCTTTTTCCAGACAATCTTTTGCGTCCCGCTTCACAACCTTTCCAAACAAAAGCGTCTTAAAATTGTCGTGTGTAAAACAAAGTAAAGCACCAAACATGAACCTCCTGAAATGAGACAGAGTTTTCAATTAATAGGAACAAAATAATAAAATATAAAAAGCTGACAACAATACCTGGAGTTTTCATACACATAAGTACGTTTTGTATTGGTAAAATCAAATTGTATTCTGTAGCAGTTTTGTTCAGTAACTGTTTCCTGTTCTAGGAATTTGATGGGATTGTATATTTTTAAATTTTCCAATCTTTCCTTGGGGTTTTCCTTATACCTACAATGAGAAAATGCTATTAATAAAATATGTTTCCAGAATTGAAGTGAGATGAAAATTGGAGTAGCTACTGGAACAAGAAGCTGAAATTTTCATGAAAAATGTCCTCATTGTATCTAAACTGACTTAAGACTGTAAAGAGAAAAATTATGTTGGCAGATTTTTCTCGAAAATGAAATTATTTGGACTTTGTTAGGTGTTCAGTAGACTGAAATATATGAAATTCAGTGTATTCAGAAGCACATGTAAAACTAAAAGGTATGAAAAATCAATAAACAGAGTTTGTAGAACAACGACCCTTTGAACCTATATACTTCGACAGTACCCTGTATATATATAACTACTTACTTGCAGATCCCCCTTCTCAAAGGGGCCACAAAATCTTCCCTGAGCAACCGAAATTGCACATCCAAATAGTGATTGACGCTCTGATAAGGACCTTTAGTGACATTTGGCCTCAAAAAGGGAGAATCTGGAAGGGTAACCTCCATGGGACTTGGATAAACGCTGATATCTCTAAAATCGTGAGGAGGTTCCTCTTGGCCGTTCTCACTTCTCACCTTCTCTATTTCTAATTTCTTCTCTATTTCTGCAGATGTTGACTCTAACAACTCGTACATTTTTTCTACCGCAACTTTAACTTCATCAGAAATATGTACACCTTTATGGTTATTCAAAATCACAGGGATACTCAATTTTGCAGCTTTTAAAAGCTTCAAAATTGCCTCACAGGAAGTAGTTGGGATCATATCATGATAATTTACGGAAATTTTGAGCAAGTTCTTCCAAAATCCGTCAATTCCATTCCAAAATAAGGCGTTATGTTTCTTCTCATGATCACTCTGTAATATAGTAATAAATCATATCAGTTGGCATTCAGAATGGAAATGCCAGAACAGCAAATTATCAAAGAATTATCTTAAATACTTATATAGACATAAATATCAACTTTTGGAAAGGCAAACCATTTTTTACTTCAGATAGTATATGATGAAGAATATAACTTAGGAGAAAATATAATGCTCTATAACAGAGGAGTGTTATTATATCTTTATAATCTTTTGCAAAGGCAAAATATTTTTTTAAATGCAGATGGTGTAAAGAATATAACTTAGGAGAGAATAATATGCTTCATAACAGAGGAATATGTTATTATATCTGTAACATCAGACATCACCCCAAACATCCTATGACCCATTACTGATTTTTTTACCATTTTTATTGACACATTGAGTATGACAAAAATAATAGCCAAATGTTAATAAGAGGAATATCCCCAATCAGCTAGTGCTGGTCTTGGGATCATTTAATCCTACTCTATATGGTAAAATAAGAAGAAATAATTAGTACCTAGTCACTGGATATTATTAGTTATAAAAGTTCGGACAAGGTTCGGACACTTAGTGTTTTTCAATGTTTAGATTTATTAAGCTACACACCTTGCATTGTGACGAGAGCACCCCATTGTCGTTTCGCGCTTTTTCATTCAAAATTGTTTAAATTTGACAATACATTTATGAACGTTAGAATGGAAATATAATTTCACGAACTATTGAGAAAAAAGCATCAATGAAAACGTCCTGCTTTTTAAAGATTAGTGGGAATTCTGAAGAGAATTTATTTCATTTATTTAATTTTCCAAAGGAAATATCAAAAATTCTCTTATGGAAGGAATGTATGAAACGGCTTGGATGGAAAAATTGATTTGAAGACAAGCAAAATTTGTAAGGTACATACATTAAAATTCACATCTTAAAACAGCAGATCAGAATGAAACTATATTTTAGACCCATTTTTAAACAGAAGATTTTTAGGTTTGTTTGAAAGAATCTGCTGTTTCATCCATTATTAAGACAGTCTATTTAAAAAAATTTCTATTATTATCATCACACAAAATGCAAAACAAAATTATCATGGAGAAAGAAGAATTGATTGCAAAACTACGTAATGAATTTGAAAATTTGAGAACGTTAATGAGGAAATCAAGTAAATTGCAACATGATATATCATTTTTCAATGCCGACCAAATTCAAAATTCATCAGTGAAAAGGTGGAAAATCGAAACAATAAATAAAGCGTCATCAAATATAATTGCGGTACTACCAAGGGTACCACAGGCTTTGAACTCCTGCTAAGAATGAAGTATCCTCTTCCATCTATATCAGGTATCTTTAGGAAAATTGAGCACATAACATTCGATTTTCAACATACAATAAGGAACTAGCTTCAAGTATTTCCTTATGTGTCTATTTTATTGTTATATTAAAAAATTGTTACATGCACATTATTTTCATTGTTGTAACATAAACTGTTGTTTTTCACATAAATTGACGTTTATATGTATGCCCTATTTCTATTTTCCATCTACGGCTATGATTGTTTTGACAGAAAATCTAACCTCTAAAATCGTATCTGACAATCAGGTGATGCTACTAGGGAAATTGCATAGACAAAGAACAGAATATACCCAGTTAACAACACATGTCTCAGCTCGATCACAAGAGAGATCAGTCAAATAACTTTGTTTCATCACACCGTTATGAAACATATGCAACTTGCATCTAAAATATAAAATGTTACTTCTACAAATCAGTGTTTCATTACATGTTCTATCAATGTGATAAATTGGAGGCATCCCATGCGTCATCAGAAAGGGATCAATTAAAAAACTGTGTTTCATCACACGTTTTATCAACGTGATAAAATTGAGACATCCCAGGCGTCATCACGAAAGGGTTCAATAAAAGAACTTTGTTTCATCACACGTTCTATCAAAGTGATAAAATTGAGGCATCCTAGGCGTGATCATCAAGGAGATCGATTAAAGAACTTTGTTTCATCAAACGTTCTATCACACGTTTCATCATACGTTCATCACAATCTAGATCAATCAAAGAACTTTGTGATATCACAACGTTCTGAAACTGCACTGATGCAAATCGCATCTATAATATAACTCGTGCTTATAGGTAAGTATTAATAATAAATTGTGATCTGTTTGTGACAGTTTGAGGTAGGTGGAATTCAAAGTTGTGGTTTAACAACCACAAACCACGAACAATGTCATAGCAAGTTCTGAGCTTTTTCTTTGCTGTGATTTCCTAACCTCACTTTTTCTGGTCCCTCGTTTACCAAACGAAACTAATGTATTTGTTTATCAAATTTCAGCAAACGAAAATAATCCGCTATCATTAACCAAATTCACCATCAACCTATTTTATTAATCGGGACTGAGATTTGAGATGAATTCGAAGGCCTCTGCTGATGTAAGTGAATATAATAAAGTCATCAGTACCAGTACCAAGTAGGTAGTTATTCCAGCTGGGGTTCAAGAGACCATTTGTAATGCCAGCAAGTGCAATAAACATATCTAACTTATTCATCCTCTTCCTGAAATTGAAGGAACCTATAGAAGAATTTAAGGTGAGGTTATTCATATTGCAAATATAATTGAAAAGGAAAATTATCAATTTCAATAGAGAAAGCATACAAAAGTATAGGTATCAGGTTCAACCTCAAGCAAGACCTCAAGTTAAAATTGATCAACATTCTGATGAGAACAGTTTTGGATTCTCTTCTGGCAAACACCGGCTGGTTAGGCCAAATTAGGGTTTTCACATTCACAATAATGACAGGTGAATACTTAATAATATAATTTTGTTTATACTTGAATTTAATTTGTTCCAATTGTAGTCAGCTGGACTGAAGATTAAATATTATTTGTTCTAGTTGTAGTCAGCTGGACTGAAGATTTCCATGAAAAAATGTTTGGAGGGACCAATAAAAACAAAACAATGACCCCCTCGGTCTTAGATTTGGCGTCTAAGGCCAATATTTCCTCCATTTGCCTGGATAACCTTGTCAAATTCTGGAGATATCTCTCATTGGCGTCCACGTCGCGAGGGGGGGCTTTGGGAAACTCGTGGGAACCATATGGAAAACCAAAAACAAAAAAATGTTGAACCTGCCCATCTGATGGAGGTTGAGGGGACACCATCCTCATCTTCATTGGATGCAGAGAATAGGCTTCTGGAGGGCGACTCTTTTCGGAACGGGAACTGAGGCTCATCAAACCTTGGTTACTGTGGAGGAAGAGCGCATCCTACAGGAGCTGATGGAGTCGACAGAGGAAGGGAAGGAATTTGGGGGCAGCCGTGAGCAGCCACCGGTTCCAAACCCTCAGGATCTGTCGGACATGAAAGTGAAGATGTCTGGAGCGCAGCGCGCGAAGCTAGCGATCCAGGCGGCTATGGCTCGCGGGGACCCGATCATTCCTAGGAAGCCTAGGTCAAATCGGAGGCCCACGAAAAAACCTCAAGCACTGGTGGCTGTAAATCCATCATGTCTTAAGAGACCAGACAAAACCATCTCCACAACGGGAAGTGGGAAAGTCTGCGAGGCCGCTGGAAAGAGGGGGAGATCCGAGACCAGTACACCTTCGCCGCTCCTTAAGAGGAGTAAACAGAGCGTCTCTGCGGGACCTTCTGTAACAAAACCCGTCAGTACACCAACTGGAGGCAGTTACAGTAAGGCCCTGACCTCCTTTAAGATGACAGTGACTACGGGCAACTATCCCGAAGACAAGCTATCTTTGGAGCAGGTGAAGCAAATCCAGCTTCTCATCACGAGAGAGATCTGGAGATGTGAGCAAGGAACTGGCCTTCAATTCGCAGGCAGCTACCCTCACTCGGGGGTGCTGATCCTAACCTGCGAAAATGAGGAATCCAGAGAATGGCTCAAGCGGAAGGTGCCTATGCTGAAGCCTTGGAAGGGTGCCGCCCTTAGCGTCGATGACGCTAATAAGGTGGTCAAAACTCACAGGGCTTTGGTATGGGTGCCAACCGAGTTCCTGACGCCAAGGAGCCGGCTAGGATCCTACAGCTCCTGGAAACCCAGAACAAGGGCATAAAAACAGGAGACTGGAGGATTATTTCCACCAATTCTGACAAACAAGGAATTACCCTTGTTCTTGGAATTGACGACCTCAACCTGAAGGAGTTGGCTAAGAGAGGCTTCAAAGCCTACCTAGGCCTGTCCCAACTTACCTTCAGGGTGGTAAGTAAAAAGAGCGCTGAAGATGCTGCAGGTCCTTCAAGTAAACCTGCAGCATAAAAAGGCTGCGACTGCTGCCTTAGTGAGGTACCTGTCCCGAGGCGAAGCTGACATAGTCCTGATACAGGAGCCCTGGATTCACGGGGGACGAGTCTCAGGACTGGGAGAAGCCAAAGGAAAGGTAATATACGATCTGACGGCAGGGAATGTGAGATCCTGCATTTTCGTTAAGAATGAGCTACATGCACTAAAACTGCTTGATTTCTGTTCTAGGGACCAGGCAGCAATTAGGCTGAAAATACGTATGGGAGGAATCTGGACGGAAATCATAATAGCCTCAGTGTATCTGCCATACGATTCTATCGGGCCACCTCCGTCAGCAGAACTGGAGAGGCTAGAGGAGTACTGCAGGCTTTCAAACCTACAGCACACCTTTGGCATTGATGCCAATGCTCACAGCACAGCTTGGAGGAGCAGCGACACCAACAGAAGGGGTGAGTTCCTACTAGATTACATAATTTCTAAGAATTTAGTTATAATGAATCGCGGGAATGAAGCAACTTTTGTTACCAAAATTCGTAAGGAGATCATTGACATAACCCTGGCGTCTTCTAGAATAAGCTCTCAGGTAACTCGGTGGCGTGTATCTGAGAAACCGTCCTTGTCGGACCATAGGTATATCTGTATGGAAATTTCAGATACTGAACTCCCGACAGAACCCTATCGAAACCCGAGAGGTACGAACTGGGAGAAATTCAGAGAGGACTTAACAATAAACCTAGGAAACGTC